GAAGACATTTTCAGTGAATTTGAAAAGTCGAATTTGAAACATTGATTAGGATAGTGTTGTGAAGTGTGTTGTGGAGAAAGTGTCTAATCAGTCTGACACCCATGTTTGAAAAGGCCAGTTAGTGTCAGATAGTGTGTTCTGTTGGCCGCAGGATTAGTTAGTTTTTACTCCTGAGAAGCAACAGACATTCTGCCACATTCATGGCACAGAACACATTGTACTCTTCCCAACATTGTAGCACATTACATAATTCACAAGTAGTAGTCACCAATAATGCTTTTGGATTAATTTTCAATCATCTCAGTCCTTGGTTCATACTTCTGTGAGCCATTTTTGTTATTGATAACAAAGCATAAACATTCCTGTAGTCCTGTCTTGTACTTTGGCAATTGATGTTGGTATTGTCTTGAACCAGTCATGGAGATGGGATGAGATGGAATTCCCATGTATGCGTTAAGACCTACAGCTGCAACAATTGATCTGTTCATGTTGTTAGGCGGAATACTTACAGTATTGAAGTCTGAAAGGACTTAGCATGGGTGGAGAGCCAATGCCAAATTGATTTGATTAATTTTGTATTAGTACATCCAAATAAATGTCACTTTTTTTCAAAATGGCAGTGTCAGTATTCCATTAGCAGTAGTAGGATCAAACTACTATTCTGTTCTAAAGTTGATTAATCAAGGGAAGTCTAAAATTTAAAGAAGCGCCACCTCTCTAGTGCTTTAATTATGCTGTAGTACTCATCATTCCGATCAATAGTGGATCAACAGGAAATTTGTTCTGTCTATCGTGTATGGATTGTGTTACTTGTATCCTTGTACAAGAAAATATAGCCAAGCATCCACTTGTGCATGTTCCTCAGGAGCAGTGAGGATTGTAGAAACCAAACAACTGTGAGCCAGATGATCAATAATTTACTGCAGTTACATAGCCCTGTTAGATTGCAGGTGATCCAACCATAGACGCACCACAAATACTGAACTTATTGATTTTATAGAGAAATATAACAAGATTCACATATTTCATTCTGATAACAGTTTCATTATTCATCTCCAATCTGATGAGTTAAATTGCATCTGGTTGCAATGTCTCAGCAGAATCTTATCCTGGATAGAGTCAGATATATGAAAGCTCATATTGCATCAGATTATCACTGGACATGGTATTTCCTACTTGTGTGGTGAAGAAAACTGTTTAACCTCAATGGCCATGATGTGCAGGTTGCCAACTTGGCAATTTGTATAGCTTTTCATAGCATGTTATTAATGACACAATAGGTTAGCAGGTTCAATGTTATAATGTTTATTTTCTGCATTGGGTTAGTTTGTTCAAAATGTTTATGATGAAGTCTCTTATTACTCTCAATGCCAGTTTCCAATAATCTCCAGGAAAACAGAGATCTTTGTTGTTGTCAGTCATAGCTCTCATAAAACTGTCACTTCCAGTTTGTTTGAATTCCCCATTTTGCAGTTTTATCGGGACAGATAGCAATATACCTTTAAGTCTTTAAACAAATAGTACATTGACGGTTCTCTGGGTTTTCAAATCATGCATGAAATAATGCGCTAAAGTATGAGTGTGTCATCATACCTTTCGTTCATGCACAATTCAATTCTCAAACTAAAACAGTAGAGCTCTGCACAGCAAAGCCAACAAGCGCTGCGGAGAGCAAACTGGCTTCAATACATGATTTTAGATAGAGGCTAATTGAAATGAAAGCGTGTGTGTTTTCTTATGGATGTGTATAACAAAAGACTAATTGCCAGCTTGATTTGATTAGAAGCCAAGGTTTATTAAAGCCTAGATTATGATATAGCTATGTCTTTGTTGTTTGAAGCCTATCACTCTCCTATCCAAAGTTCTATATTATTATGCAAAACAATATGTAAAGTGAACTGAAAGGCTTGCATGAGGCCGGTCTGATCTTATTTCAGAATATGTGCGATTGTTTACAAACAAGAGAAAAGTCCAGTCACATAATAAGCTTAAACCCGCAGTGTGGTCACTGGAGCAGAAAATTCTCTCACAGAATAAGGCGATCAGAGCCAAGTAAGCTTGAAGGTTATCAGCTATTGTTTACAAACAAATGGTGTCCTCACATAGGAATCCATTCCAACATGCTGCCATTCCAAAAGGTGAATTGAATCCATTGAAAATATTGGAAAATAAAATTATATTTAAGTTAAAAGGTTTTTAAAATATCATCTGTATTATTTTCAGTTGTCGTGTCAAGTTGCAAAACTTGCCCTTTTTCATTTCATGGTCAGGTCTTGAAAAGGGGAAATGAACTGATTAATTGTGGGCTGCCATTCTGAAACCCTTCCCATGGTTGTGCTTTTCTTGATGTGTTATATGTGACAAAAATGACATTTGATACATTTAATGTTGAAAATCATAGTTTACTTTTTTGGATCATGTACTCAGTTATTCTATGAAAATGATCTGTCAGTGAAGATGTGATGATCAATTAGAAAATGCTCAAAATCAATTCAAAAGTAAGATGCAGCAAAGCACTTTGATTCACATATTCCCAGATAAAAACTACATATGTTTGGGGGGCAATCACAGCATACAATATGTCACCACTTTCTTCAGTTCTATTTTATATTCCTATATATATAAGATAGCTTTTAGATAAATCACAATTGACAATAACAAAACATTGTTCTGTCATGACATCATTTCCCGAGATGATGTCATAGATTGGACGATGTTATCTTTGAGAGGGTAGTGTCTAGTGAGTTGTTCCCCATAGATGTAGCTTGGCAACACAGAAAAACGCCATGGTCTAACGACTGCATCCAAATGTTGGCGAGATATGTCAATCTGTATTAGGGGGAAAGGTACATATAATCTGAGCTATATCAAAATATTATATTCATAACAAATTTACATACCCAAAAATATTATATAACTGAGCTATATTAAATATATTACAAAAGGCTTATATAAATAAAATAACATTTATTACTAATTTATTATACTAATTTATGATGCCGCAATTCACTGTGCAGAGTTGCGTCCTTTGTGCATGCGAGATACCTATGATTGTGGTTTCAAATCCGAGTTTAACCCGATGATGTTTCTTAGTTCGTCGGCACCAAACCTGTGCTTGTGGGCTTGTGGTAAACATCTGAGACCTGCATCAATTCAGGCTTTCCTCCCACAAAAATGAGTAAAATGTTGGTAATGACACCGCACACTTATCTAAAGATGCAAACCCACTGATACAGTGGTCCCTCGCTATTGTGCTCTTCGATAAAGCTCTACCTCAGTTACTACTCGCGGTAATGCATGGCTCCCAAAATTTATGTACTCTTTTATTACTGAGAGTTTTACACAGACATAATTGTATTGTTGTTCGTTGTTCATTTGCACATAACGCTTCTCATTGCATTATCAACCGTTTATCGCTGAATGGTGTTCTAATAATCTGTTTGAAAACATCCGCGGCAAGTGATTGGTCAATTTTGAGCACGTGACCTCAGGCAGCCAATCAAATTATAGCTGTGATACCAAGCTCGTGTTTGATAAATTTCAGAAGTTAGCGAAAGATTTTTTGTTAAATCGTGTTATTCTGAACGTTTTAAGCAGGAAATCACGATATATATTAAAAATATGGAACTTCGCGAATGTATCGTGCTAGGTTACGAGCTGTGACAAAGATTTTTCATGCATATATTTTTGCATTAAACGTTGTGTCTGAGCCGAGAATTCAAGGCGACGAAATCCGAGATGTCATTTGACTTACATTACACGCGATCGCACGAAACGATGTAAATAATAACTTAGATGTAAGTTTGATTACTTTTAGATATATTTTTGTTGATTTTATTTATCACTTTGTATAATATATTTAAAGATTTGCTTAAAACGTCTTTATTTTGCTCTTTGACATGTTTGATGCGGACCCGTTGTCGAAATGTGTGTCCGAGAATTTTATTTTCAATAACATCGCGGGAAATAATGAATAATTTTTTAATTTATCGATAAAAAATGATAAATTGAAATGGAATACGTTTTTCAGACATTGTGAAATGTGACAGATTTAACAAATGAATGATATTACAGGTAGATCTAGGTCCATAAAAATATATACTATTTTGACGTGACGTGAGATAAACACATATTGATGATTTGAGATTTGCCGAGCGCGCTCCCCCGCCTCGGCCTCGGTTAAACGGCTCATCGTCTATAACGCCCACCAATTATTTGGACCCCATTGGTAGCGTTGTAGCGAGGGACCACTGTACTGAGAAAATGCAGTCTTGGTATATCTTATTTCATATATGCCTGGAACAAGACCAGTGATTCCATAGTGGAGTGTCTTCATACTAACCTTTTAATTGTGTGCGTGGGTAGAAACTGGCATGCAGAATGCCAGAATTGATGTGCCATCTGCCTGCATATAACTTCATTTAGGTGTAGTGTAGACAAATGTGACAGCTTCATTATAGGGGTCTAGCCCAATTCTGGAGCTTGAATGTAACAGTTGGAAAGATTAGTACAGACCTGATGAAAAGCTGAAACTGAGACTGCCTTTGGATGGAACCGTCTCAACATGATTTCCATCTATTCTTCTACTGCTCCTATAATTTATAGATAGAGATGATCAATTATCTCCAATATTTCTACAATATTTGTGGGTAAATGATATGTCTACAGTTGGCACAAAGTAGTGAATGCTGATAGGATTGGCATGGCCAATAAGAACATAAATTTCATTTTATATTTATAGTAAACTGATGATATTGCCTGTAACTCCTAAACATTTCATACAGTTTGAAATTATACAGTCCCTCAAACAGAAATAACTGCATATTTGATATTTACTTTGAAACTATTTCTTTTGGGCCGGTTGCCAGAAATATTTCATGAACTGAGATGGAATTGTTTGATAATATGAAGGAGAATTGTCTTGATGAAGTAAAGTTTTTGATATAAGAGAATTGCATATTGTTTGATTGTTAATTGATTGTGTTGTTTTGTGCTTCCAGGTGTGTCCCACTACACAAGAACCCATGAGAACTCAGAAGACACATGCCTGTTTGATGAGGTGAGCACCAACTGACCTTCTTCAAGTGTATTGTTACAGACATGCATGGGAAGCCTGTGTTTAGAGACCAGACCAACATGATGGTCGACTGTTGGTTCGATATATGCCAAAACATCAATATCCTCTCCTTAAACATGAAGTTAAGTGGTGCACTAAGGTTAGACCACCTGAAGCAGGTGGATTATGCACATATTTCCATGCATGTAATTAGATGTACAACATCCACACAAGTGCCTCAATGATATTTTCATGGCTTGGAAACTTAGCTGTGAAAACATGGTGTTAAAGTAGAGAAAATATCCTACATTCTATATCCATCCTGGCCTTTTTGTAACTTGGTTCAACTGAACTGAATGTTCTTTTGAGCTGTATCGGCATATTGATCGACCTTGTCCATCCACACAAGTTTTAGATTTTGTATTTATCTTCTTAAACAATATAGCCATGAACTTCATGCTTGACATGGATGATCCGAGCAACAGTGTCCTCTCAGAACTGGAGGTCATTTTGTCATGTACACCGCCATTACAGCAGGTATATTTGAAATGGGTGAAGGTTTACACAAGACATGTCATGATTTTTTTTAGCATTTTGACTTTTAGCTGTATGGTGTGTTTGCTTGACCTTTATCACCATAATGCTTCGACAACTTGATGAAGTGTGCCCATGTGTAATAATTTTCCCGAGTGGCTGATAGGTTATGGGATAAGTTTTAATGTGGCATTGTGTAATGGCAAGTCTATGACTGCACCAAATCACTTTCATGAAAAAATCATGTGGGTGAGGGCATGAATATTGCTGTACACCACATCGTCAAAGTAACAATCAAGGTGTCGTTAAATGTTTTCATCGAAGGTAAAAAAGGATTGAATTATTGCAGGATTAACAAAATATATCAGAGTCTCGCTTCACTGAAATAACATAGAAAGCTTGAGTGCTAGGTTCCTGAGTGAACCAGCAATAGGAAGTTTTACCCATTCCTCACCAATTCATTTACAAGTGATTGTGTAAATTGATATGCAGTAAATATGGCATGTAGTGAAATAATGATAACCTTTATCTATTTTGCCTCTTTTATGACCTGTATAATTTTGATAATTGTGATATTTTGATGTCTGTTATTTAATGATCTATAATATTCACCGAAACAGTTTCCATTGGGTGTAAAAGGCAAAACAGCAGTGAAAATTGTATAAATGGATCTCTGAAAATCAGTGATGACGCAAAAAAGGGTAAGCATTTTCCTGCTTGAAAGATGAAAGTGTTAATGCCACAACCTATCATACCCTCAGAAACATTATTACACATGGGCACACACCATTGGTAGATTCAAAGCCTGAGCACTCAGTTGTTTAAACACGATGGTGGTGAAAGTCAATAACTATCACCATACAGCTAAAAGTCTAAATCTCATTAAAATCTTATCTCTTACTTCGATACAGTACCTCTCTGCATGTAAATCTGAGGACTCAGGAGATTGCATCAGGTGAATTTTCTGATCAGCCAATCAGCATCAAGGCTTCTAAGTTTTTGGTACAAGTGAGTAATGCATTCAGACAAGCATATCTGATGTCTGTATCTTGAAAACTTGGGGACTTCCAGCTGCCAAGAAATACAGCTGCACCATTACCGTATTGTGCATAGTGTGCACTTTTCAAAAGAGAAATACAACTTGTAGAGGGGATGCACATATATACTCACACGCAAAAGAAGCGCAAGTCGAGTATGCAGTATACATGTTATTTATTTTCAACAGTAAAGACAAGAAATACTAATAGGGCAAGATTGACAAAAATTTGACTGAAGACAGTTTAATGGATTAAAAGGCAGATGACATAATTGTTTTTTTTCAAATGTTAAGGGCTTACACAGTTTCGGGTCATTACCCAAAATGTCAGTCAATACCTGGTGTGACCACCATTAGCAATAATCTCTGCCACACATCTCCTGTACATTGAGTGGATCGGACGATTTGTGAAGGCCCTAGGGATCCTCCTGCACACATCCAGAGCAGCTGTGCGTAGTTCATCGGCAGTTGTAGGGACTGGGCGCACATTGTGCAGACGCCTTTGAACATCATCCCACAAGTGTTCGATGGGGTTCAGATCAGGGCTGAGGGCTGGCCACGGTAGAACACAGATGTTGTGTTGTTGCAGAAAGGCCATGGTAGCTCTGGCAACATGGGGACCAGCGTTGTCCTGCTGGAAAATGTGTTGTTGATGTTGTGCAAAAAATGGAACAACATGGGATCTGATCACTTGGTCGATATACCGCTGAGCAGTGACGCCGTGTCCCCGACCTTGACCAACATTCAGAAAGCACATGGGTCCAAGTCTCGCATTAAGTCCAATCCCTGCCCATATCATGACGCTAGGTCCACCCCATGGATCCCTTTCCGCAACGTTGCTGTCAGCGAAACGATCACGTCGACGCCGCCAAATTCTGACTCTTCCATCTGCATGGGAGGCACAAAAGCGACTTTCATCCGAGAAGATGACACGCCTCCACTCACGATGATGCCAATTGTGATGACCCTGTGCCCACTGAAGTCGTGCTTGTCGATGCCGTGGTTGGAGAACAGGAGGATGTGCTGGTCGGCGACATCTGAGGTTGTTGGAACGGAGACGTCGGATCACAGTGTCCTGGCTAATGTGTCGATTATGTTGTTCCTATGGTCTGTCGAGCACTTTCACTTGCAGTTAGGAACATATGTCGCTGGTTTTGACGGGTAATCTGCCGATGTTGTCGAGGTGTGGTCCTAGGACGACCGCTCTGAGGAATGTCATCTGTGGTCTGTGTAGCATTGTATCGATGCAGGAGAAGGTAAATTGTGGTTATGTTAACATTGAAATGACAGGCAACATCTTGGACAGACTCTTCAGGTTCCAAATGTCCCATAGCCTGGTTTCTCTGAATTTGAGTTAGGCGAGGCATTGTTGACCAAGGAGTGGTAGGTCCAAGAATTGGCCACAGTTTGATACCCACTACAGTTCGTGACAGTTTGTGCATTTTCAATTTCGCGAAAAATGGGTGCATGATACCCACATATTCATTGAAATGGTGCGATTTGGCGATTCGTATTTTATGTTACATTTTTACTCGGGGCTTCCAAAATGCAACCAAAAATATTGATAACACCATCAGGCTTCACTACATGCTAAAATTCGTATCAATTTATGGTTCCGTGTTTGTTACCTATTTACTTAAAACCACTTGCCTTTCTTTTGCATGTGAGTATACATGCATATTGTTATACACACTATTGTTTTTGAGCAACATGGTATCTACCCCCCCCCCCAGTCAATGGAATATTTGCGTTCTATGTGTTTTCATATCTACAAATTGAAATTTCTAAAACTGAAAATGAATCAGTTTTGAAAAATGAACAGCTGGTTGGCTCAAAACCTCATTCTGCCGTCTCTAGACTGGGGTCAAAGTTCACTCAGGGTTCACCTGAAGTGACCTGTGGAGGTGTCCTCAGATCTTGACACAGAGGGGAATCGCATCAGAATAATAGATCTGATGGAAATATATTGGAAAACATCAAAACAAGTTGAAAACACGTAAAAGCTGTCTGAAGCACAAAATAGTGACCTTTCTTTGACAAGATGTTGTTTGTGACAATTATCTCCAAATGAATGTTTTTTTCAGTCATTTGAGTGGCCAGTGGCTCGTCCTATTGAGAGTGAGGAGGTTATTGACATTCAGGTCTTCAACTACAACAAATACCTCAGTAACAGGTCAGTACAACTACGACACATCCCTCAGTAACAGGTCAGTATAACTATAACACCTCAGTAACAGGTCAGTACAACTATAACAGATACCTCAGTAACAGGTCAGTATAACTACGACACATACCTCAGTAACAGGTCAGTATAACTACGACACGTACCTCAGTAACAGGTCATTACAACTATAACACATACCTTAGTAATAGGTCAGTATAACTACGACACATACCTTAGTAACAGGTCAGTATAACTACGACACATACCTAAGTAACAGGTCAGTATAACTACGACACATACCTAAGTAACAGGTCAGTATAACTACGACACATACCTCAGAACAGGTCAGTATAACTTTGACACATACCTCAGAACAGGTCAGTATAACTACAACACATACCTAAGTAACAGGTCAGTATAACTACGACACATATCCCTCAGTAACAGGTCAGTACAACTACGACACATACCTCAGAACAGCTCAGTATAACTACGACACATACCTCAGTAACAGGTCAGTATAATTACGACACATACCTCAGAACAGGTCAGTATAACTACGACACATACCTCAGTAACAGGTCAGTATAACTATAACACCTCAGTAACAGGTCAGTATAACTACGACACATACCTCAGTAACCCTTCAGTATAACTATGACACATACCTAAGTAACAGGTCAGTATAATTATAACACCTCAGTAACAGGTCAGTATAACTATGACACATACCTCAGAACAGGTCAGTATAACTATGACACATACCTCAGAACAGGTCAGTATAACTACGACACATACCTCAGAACAGGTCAGTATAACTACGACACATACCTCAGAACAGGTCAGTATAACTACGACACGTACCTCAGTAACAGGTCAGTACAACTATAACAAAATACCAAATACAAGTTCATAAGGTGATAAAACTATAACAAATGCCTCAGTAACTATGGTAACAGGTCAGTACAAGTTAAATTTATGATGCCTACTACATGCAAAATAATTTTAGTTCCTGGTGTATGCTCTGAATACAAGACTGAATGAAGTGACACTGAGAACAAGTATAAACCATCAGCATGCACATTAAATGTGCATCTTTTAAAACCCATAATGAATAAAAGTGTATTTTGTCAGCTTGACCTAGTAACAGTGCAATAATCTTAAGCCGCCTGTTTATCCTGTGTACCAGTGTGCTGACCCACTCAATAGATGCTGCAAGGAGTGTCTGAGTAGATAATGGCCAGGGATGGGGGAAGTTCCAGACACATCACTGAAAAAATGAAGCAATAAGGGCAGGGGTTAAAACAAGACCTACCAGACCTTCCAGTATCAGTCCATCAGAAAACCTATTGACTTGGCTAGGGGGCCATGTCTGCACAATCTAGTATGGAGATATATGGCATTATTCATCCCGGATGTTAATTTGAGCCTGCAGGATTTCCATGGTACTCAACTTTTAAACTGTATCTAATCTGACAACAAACATTTACAGTTTTCTGTTTGTAAGCATCTTCTGCTTATGTAGCATATATGTTTCCAAATGTCTAGGATCATAGACACCGAAATTAAACAATTCTGATGTGACGTAATTATCATAGACAGCAGTCATACCAAGACATTCAGGATGGGAGTTAGATACCTGATCTCCATAATCATTCAGATATATGCGTATACATTATTTGTCTTGACATATCATACTATTTGAAGGATTGCTCATAGTTTGGTGACCCGTGAAGATCCGGGGTAGAATAGGTCTTCAGCAACCCATGCCTGCCGTAACAGGCAACTGTGCTTGTTGTGAGAGGCGACTAATGGGATCGGGTGGTCAGGCTCGCTGACTTGGTTCATGCATGTCATTGTATCTTAATTGCTTAGATCGATGCTCATGATATTAATCACTGGATTGTCTGGTCTAGACACTATTAATTACAGACCGCCGTCATATAGCTGGAACATTGCTGAGTGCAGTGTTAAACAACAACAAACCAACCAGCCAAGTGTAAGCTGTCAGTCACTGGATTGTCCGGTCCAGACTCGATTACAGACCGCTGTCATATAGCTGAGTGCAGTGTTAAACAACAAACAAACATGGTTTGGTGCAGGGTAGTATGAGTCTTGCCTCAAAGCAGTATATCTTGAGTTGACAGCATTGCATTTCACATACACAATTCACAAATCTGAGGACAATAATTATATGTCTAAAGAGAGAAAAATAAATTATTGACTGTAATTCATTGATTGGGCCTGCCGTAAACATTCACTAGTGATACAAGATATTGATACTGATACTGTGCATGAAGATCTATCCAGGCATAAACCTGTTTGTACACAGCAGAGTATTGCACCATTTTGTCATATGATGGTGGGGTTTAGTTCCAGATATGTTGAAAATCTTAATAGAATTATATAGAGGTTATCACACTAGTGTGTTTGGGGATGGTAAATATCCTGTATTAGGAATAAGCATTGTATTTAGCGAACCTCGGTGTTTGTAAACACTGAAAGTAGTCCCTACTTGACTACTGATATTTGCATCTCTATCCGCATATGACCCCAATGGATATCGGGTTTTTTCCATTGGCTTTATCCTGCAGAGAAACCTACTCATTATGTGATAAAAATGAATACTTGAAAACTGCAAACTTTAATGTATTTTTCTTTATAAAAGAATCAGCTGTAAATGCTTTCAAATAGAATGCAATTAAACAGAAATTGTGAAATAACTATTCAATGAAGGAGAAGATATCTATGATGATGAATGTGCCAGGTTCCTGTTTTTGTTTATATTTAAGCATGCACCAATTGATATTTGACTGCTTATGGAAGCTTCATGTCAAGCAGTGATATCATTCCTAAATAAGTATTGCATAAACATGTTTCAGTACTTTTTCTGAACCATTGTTAGTTAAAGTTTTAGAATAGACAAAACTTTAGGGATGATAGATCACTTCACTTGGGTAAACTCTGATTTATATTTTGTGTGCGAATTGAAATACAAAAATTTGGGAAAAATCAAACAAATTAGGCACAAGTGACACACATGTTAGTCATCACCACAAACAAGCAGGAATTAATGCTAAAAATAGTCAGGCCCCTGCATCAAGTGTCTGTCTACAGCTTGTCAATTTTCAGTTTGTCTCAGCCTACCTATAGAGAAAATAAAATATATCCTTCCATTATTTCAATTTAGAATGATTCCTGATTATGCCTATATTTGAAGAAGCCTGTGCATGTGTCTGTGCTACAAACTGGCCAGAAACATGGACAGGCTGTCACTTCGGATCCAACAATGGTTTGATTTTGAATTGTTTAGTTTCCTTCCTGGGGTGGTATAGTATTGACACATTCATCATGACGGCAAAATTAATTTCAACAGCCAGAATTACCTTGACATGAGAAGCTGTAAGATAATATTGTTCATCAGATAGCCATAAGATTGCCATGTGTACAAGACATTCACATCAGACCTCAGATATTCTCAATAGGATATTGTCTGGGATATTTCTTCATATCATATTATATGACAACAGCTCATTACAGAATTGATAGGATTATGTGAGTTCTTATGAAGACTTATTCCTGTTTTACTGATATTCTGGGCTGTAGATGCTCCATGCAAATACAACATCGGTGACACGCACCCAAGGGTTGGCAAGCCCTAACTGTGGTAATGATCAACTAATCCTGTCCTCCACTGCTTAACAGAATTCCATCACAGACATTTGGACATCACAATGTCCTGCTCTCCTCTGACATTAACGACAATATGATGACGAGCTAGGGGGTTTGAATCAATACTATTTTTGTGAAGGAGCTTCACTGAGAACCAGCACCAATTGTGAAACATGGGCAAATAGTGTGGATAAAATTGTCTATGATCTGTACGTCACATTAATTATATACAGACTTTCATTACTGAAGTTAGGAATGTTTGCTCGTAAATAGTGATTAATGGATGGTAGATGTCCCTTTAGAAGCAATTTTAATGTCATGTCAGCAGATGATTTCATGTTTAAGATGCATGTGAAAGATGCATGTTTGCCTTTTCAAAAGGTGTGTGTTGGCTTACAAAAGAATCCACTTTTCTCATGAAGTATGGTATCCATAGTAACTCAACAATTGCGATTATTTTGAGACCTCTGCCTGTCTATACAATGTAGAAGCATTTGATCAGGCTATGTATATTGAGTGTCTGTATGACTTCCCCACCCCACCACCTCATCTGATGTCCTTGTGAGTGGGTAGGTGGGGTGGTAGTAAGTGTTGAGGAGAGAGTTCTTCCTCCTCCACCACCTCATCTGATGTCCTTGTGAGTGGGTAGGTGGGGTGGTAGTAAGTGTTGAGGAGAGAGTTCTTCCTCCTCCACCACCTCATCTGATGTCCTTGTGAGTGGGTAGGTGGGGTGGTAGTAAGTGTTGAGGAGAGAGTTCTTCCTCCTCCACCACCTCATCTGATGTCCTTGTGAGTGGGTAGGTGGGGTGGTAGTAAGTGTTGAGGAGAGAGTTCTTCCTCCTCCACCATCTCATCTGATGTCCTTGTGAGTGGGTAGGTGGGGTCAGGGTAATTGTTGGGGAGAGAGTTCTTCCACCAGCTACTGGGAACACCACCACGTCCCATTGATTGCAGCCAATGGATTTCCTGTCATAAACAGTCCTACACTGCAGTAGTTCCCTGGGAATACAAACAAGGACAACCCAGCAGCAGTACTCCATCAGTCATAGCACTAACAACATCAGTCATAGCACTAACAACATCAGTCATAGCACTAGCAACATCAGTCATAGCACTAACAACATAAGCCATAGTGATAACAACATCAGTCATAGCACTAACAACATCAGTCATAGCACTAGCAATGTAAGCAGTAGCACTAACAATGTCAGTCATAGGACTAACAATGTAAGCCGTACCACTAGCAACCTCAGTCATAGCACTAACAACATCAGTCATAGCACTAACAATGTAAGCCACATCACTAACAACATCAGTCACAGCACTAGCACCATCAG